AGCAGATCTGAGACACATCAAGTCATGACTTCTGCAACAAGAGCTACAAACAGGCCATGGCACAGACACTGCAACCAGCCTAAGGCCTGGCCTGATGCTCAATGCTCTGTGCCTCAAGCTGTGCCATTACTTCAGCTCAACTTATTATCAAAACAGCTGGGGAGGAGAGGGAGACAAATGGGAGATACTTAAGGCAGGGGTATCTCTAACTGATTACAGCTTCCTAGGAAGGAAGCAACTCCCTTTGTCTGACAGTCAACATAGTTCATATTCAGGTAAGAACCCTGGTTTGAGGTGGGGGGAACATTCAGAGTCTTTCCACATAAAACAACATAGTTCCATTAATTGACTCTTAGATACCTCAGGAACTGCCTGTGACAAAGTACAGGTAATGACAAAAACCAGCATGTAGTTCCCTGCAAAGTACAGCTAAAACAGGGAAAGGAATTCCCAGGTTCTCTCAACATGTCATTAGCAAGAAAAATATTTTTGCCATCAGGACTGAAATAGGCTTAGGGCTTCTCCAGATTCTCCAAGATCAAGAGGTAAGCTGAGAAAAACAACAAAAGCACTGGCTCAACATTAAGCTAATATTTTAGTCCCTGCAGGTGATAAGCTCTGATAAACACACTCAACCCACTAACTTTCACCCAATGCAGAGGGACAAGCCCAAGTAACAAGAGCCAACCAACTCTATGATGCAAGACTGCTCCCTGCTTCACAGCCAGAGGAGCCTTCTCCACTAGAAGAGCCATCATCCCAGAGTCATGCATCTATACAGAGAAGTGATACAGTGCATCACACACATGCACCAAAAATCCTGTGAAGATGCCAAGGGGCAGAGGTAACTTAAAATTCAGCAAACAGTATGAAAACAGGTTTATTGTAGACATAACTCTGAAATCATCCTCTTATGCGAGGAGGCAAATATCTGGAAATTCAACCTCTGGGTGCTGACTGCAGAAGCTCCTTTCTCTCAACCCTGGACTAGTTTGTTTCCCTTCTCCCTTCCTATATACCAAACCAGAATTGCTGTAAGTCCCCTCTCTCTGAGAGCTAGGAAGGGACAAGTTTACTGCAGTCAAAGCAATGCTGAGAGGAAAGGAAAAGGAGGCATCTAGGATAACCAGTACTATGAAGGACAGCAGGGTTTCATCATCATCATCATTCAGCTTCTTAGTACTGAGAAAGGTTAACAGCATGAGGAATTAAACTTGCAGACTTACAATCTGTACCTCAACAGGGTGGCGCAAGACTCTTACAATACTGATCTTGTTCTTAATACTCAACCAGAATCATGTCTCTTCATATCCATTTTACTTGCACAGAGAGAAGAACCTGAAAGAGTTGTCACCACAATAAGGTAACACACAGAGGTCATTACTTGCCTACTGCAGGCATCCAGTACAGAGCCAGTCTCTTCTCAGTGAGAGGACATCTGTAGCTAGCTAGCACTGCAGTTTAAAGGATCCAACACAAAACAGTTTCAAGAACTTAACTGAGCAGGGACAGTGTGTGCACACGCACCATCACAGCTGGCCTCCTGGGATCTCCCCATTTAGGAGCAGTCCCACTATCCATCCTCTGAACTCCAGCACTGGGTACCAAGAGGCCTTCCACCATGCACGGAGACATTGCCCAACAAGCAGAGCTCTCTTTCGCCTTTGGTGTCCTGAGGTCAGAGATTGTCACAAGCCTTTCATAGCAGCTTTGATGAGTCAACCCAACCCTAAGAACTAAGCCAAGTACCAAAAGTACTTGCTGTTCTCCTTGGAGTTCACATCTAGGAGGTGACAGAGAACAGCACCAGGAACTGAAATGCATTTCCAATACATTATGATTCCAGATAAAACAAAGCAACCTTTGGTAACAGACCTAAAGATGCATAATTCACTTTGCCCTTTAGCAAGGAGCTGACTCTACACTGACTACTCTGCTGGCATACATAGGGTTTTTTTTCCTCTTCAACAGGCTAGTCCTAAACTAGAATTTCTGGCCAGAAACCACCGTCATGAAAGGCAGGTAAGGTAAATAAATGAAATACTTCCCAGAGCACTACAGCCACCTGAAAAACAACACTGGCCCATGAACCAACCAATGTATTTTGGTACCAGGCACAGAAATAAAAGGCAGTCCTCCAATCAAACAGGAGACTTCTGCCTCTGTGTAAGTGCCAACACAGCAACAGCAGCACTCACAAGAAAAGTCTGGGCTTCTGGAAACCAAGTATCAGCACATGGAAAGTTCTGTATCTGCATAAAAAGAGTACCTTGTAACCACACCACAGAGCAGTGCTGTTCACACAGCAGATGAAAAAATCAGAAGTCTGCTATCCTCCACAAACCCACACCTGGGGAGGTGTGTCAGCCTGCCCTCTCTGGTATTTCTAAGAGCAAATAAGCCTCCAGCTCTTACAAATTTTGGTTCACAAACCCTAACACAGAATCACAGAATCATCATGGTTGGAAAGATCACTTAATCCCACCATCAACCTTAAAAAAACCCCTAACAAACATAAACATTACAAACACTTCACCAAAAAACACCCACAAAAAAATCCCACGACCTCAGCCACTACAGCATGTTCTGAATTGCCACACCTACACATTTCTTCAATACCTCTAAGGATGGTGACTCCACCACCTCCATGGACAGCTGTTCCAGTGCCTGACCACTCTTTCAGGATAGAAATTCTTCCTAATATCCAAACTAAACCTCGCCTGGCACAAACTGAGGTCATTTCCTCTGGTCCTGTTGTTACTCACTTTGGAGAAGAACCCACCACTCACCTCCCTACAAACTCCTGTCAGGCAGTTATAGAAGGCAATGAGGTCTCCCCTCAGCCTCCTCTTCTTCAAACTAAGCATCCCCAGTTCCCTCAGCAGCTCTTTGTATGACTTGTTCTCCAGACCCTTTCCCAGTTCCACTGCCCTTCTCTGGACACGCTCCAGCCCCTCAGTGTCCTTCTTATAGTGAGGGGTCCAGAACTGACCCCACTACTCAAAGTGCAGCCTCACCAGTGCCCAGCACAGGGGGACCATCACCTCCCTGCTCCTGCTGGCCATGCTGTTCCCGCTGCAGGCCAGGATGCTAGTGGCCTTCTTGTCCACATGGGCACACACTGGCTCATGTACATCCAGTTGTCAACCAGCATCCCCAGGTCCTTTTCTGCGGGGCACCCCCAGCCACTCTGCCCCAAGCCTGTAGTGTTGCCTGAGGTTGTTGTGACCAACATGCAGAACCTAGCACTTGGCCTTGTTGAATCTTGTCCCATTGTTCTTGGCCCATTGATCCAGCCTATCCAGGTCCCTCTGCAAAGCCTGAATACAGAAATACACTCAGATCACTAGTCAAGGAAACATAAGAGTTTCTGACCCAGGTTTCAAAAGCTTAGCAAGCAAAAAAAACCCCAACTTTCAGAACAGGAAAGTTAATAACTAAGCTGTGAGATCAAAGAGTCGCAAAACACTGGGCTTAAGACAGGTCATTAAGATCAAGAATTTTAAAAAAATCAAACAACATGGCTTGATTTTGGAAATGCAATACATACAAAATTCAAATTTAAACCAAGGGATTTATGGAAAGCATAGTATGTGTTGAATTTCACAAACACATTCCCCCAACTCCGCAGTTTTGCCATGTAAGAGCCGAGTACTCCCAAACTGAGATACTGGTGTTGCCCAAACATGTCAGAAGGGTAACAGTCCTGGACACAAGTTATTACCCTTACTCAAACACAGCCTATACTAAACTCCATCTTTAATAAGCCTACATTACAGACAGACTAAGAAAACTCATTTTTGTAGGCATGACTAGTTTCTTGTCATATAAATGATGCTCAAGAATGCAAAATATGCACACAGATTCAGATCAAAGTCCTACCTACACAACTGCTGATTACACAGGAAAGCCAACATACCATCCAAGTACGATTTCAAGTTCATACTTCATGTTCTTTCCTCAAAGAAACAATGTTTATTCATTTTCACAATCACAATCCCCTTGTACCTGTAAAGTCCAGAAATACTCTGCATGCAACCAAGACATTTCAGAACAAGTCCCCTGTCTTAAGCTTCTTGGTTCTGGGAAGTCCCAATGGTTTTCAACACTGACTTTTCTGCACTGTTAAGATTCCAGAGTCTAAAGCACAGTCATGTCTAACCCACACAGACTTTTTAATGAAGTCAACTACAGCTGATTGCTATAGTGCTATAGGAGAGAGGAGGTATCTTAAAGAACTAAGAAAACCAAAATAATTCCTGGATTTAAGTCTTCATCTCCAGCAATTTTCATCATATGCCTCATTCACTGAGCATTATTAAACACTAATTTTTGTAGGTGACCTCCTAAAATGAAGAGTTAGAAGGTTCAAAGACAGCCCTTGAAGGCTTACAGGCCCTTTTCCTCTGCTCCTATTGCAGTGATTAGTCAAGAAGTGTTCTTCCTCACAACTGAAGTCTGCAAGGCAGGCTCCAGAGCAGAGTTTGTGTGGAACATGTTTCCCCACCCAGTTCTTGAATTTTAAAGCTGACCACTCTCCCACAAGCACAGGCTGTAATTACTTCCATCAGACTTCAAAGCCTATGAATTCACAACAGCAATGCATAAAGCAGCGAGGAACTACCTTGGGCATTCTGTGCTGCAAAGGATCCCATCATAATCTCCACTCTGCAATCTGGGTGTAGCACAGACTTTAAAATGTAAATTCAGGAGTACCAGAGTCTGAAGTCCCACTACATTTATGCATAGTCCTACTTCCCACACACAGACAGCACCAGGACACTTCTTTTTAAGGGCCAGCACAACACATCAGCATCTCTCGCCCATTTCAACCACTGGTATATAAACGTCTATAAATTAACTACTTTCCTACAAAACAATGACCAGGACTCTAAATATTGTACCATTACAAAATGTTTAATATATTAATGACTTAAGAGTTAATACAGTATGAAGGGTTTTGAAAAAATACCAGTTTTTTAATCTGTCACGGGCTTCCAACTGGGCTCCCACCTCAAAGTTGATCCCTCTTCTATTCGGAGGATGTTTTGTCATTTTGTAATATCAACACTGTTGATTTTATTCCCCTGAAAAATGCAATTAAATATCAATCACTAATCAAGACATAGACAAAAAAAATCTTATGCACCATAATCCCCAAAAGCTAGATGTTAAGGGACCTCTATCTTTTGCTTGCAGAAAGTAATGGGGGCAATAATCTCTTAAGCAAGGATTCCCAAGCAACAGTGTGCAGAATCATACCAAAAATGTGTTCAAAATGGCAGCTACTGCATCCCAAGAGATTGAAGATCAACCTTTGTCCATCAGTCCAAGTTTCAGGTCATTTAAGAACTCTGCATCCCAATGTTTATTCACAACTGAGATAGAAGTTTCATTATATTCTCTTCCCCCCTCCCAGTTTTTGATGAAAACAAGGAATCCAGTAAACAGGAAGTGGGCAAAACCAAACACAATAACAATCTTTCAACAGCTACTATGTTAGTGAAACACCCAAAAACACTACCTCACCTCATCACTACAAATGCTGCAGAGTTCAAAATGTTAGAAAAATGTAGTTTCTTTAACCAATTTTAGAAGACTGTCTGTACTGCTTGAATGTTTGCATTGTTTTCTTCCCACTTCTCCACCATCTTAACCAGAAAATAAAAGTAGTCTCAGTAACACGTATTTGCCTCAGATAATATAAATGTTTAAGATTAATGTAGTTTCTAGAATGTAGTTCCTCTCTGCACATTTATTGGAAACCCTGATCAGGAGCTACTTTTCCTCAAATTTTTGTCAGTCATTTCCCACAGTTTTAATACACAAATTGTGACAGATTCCTGTAGTCTTCAAGCTAACAAGATCCAAAAATACAAATAACTTTTATTCACTCCTGTTCTCCTCACAGTAAGGCTGTATATTCAAGATTCAATTAAAGGTGTATAAAACAGTTGCAAGTTAAATTTAAAAACCTTCTAGTCTCACACTACAAGAATAAGGAGACATGCACTGGCAAAAGCAGGAAGCAGTAGCATTTTGGTTCACAATGCATAAACAGCAATGAGATGGACTGAGCTGCATCCATAAAAGTATTAACATCAACTTATGAAGAATTACCTTAAGTTCAAGTGCAGTTCATAAATCAAAGATCTTGAGGAATGGCTAAAAAAAAAGTCTAAAAGGTTCTATCACAGGGAAAAGATACTCCATCTATACACTTTTTAACCAGGTCATTTGCCAAGGGCTGGCCATGGAGGCTTCCCCACTGCCTCGAGTATTTTAACTGCACTGCAAAGAAACTACCAGAAGATTATCTGCTGTCTTCCTCTAAAAACACTGCTGCCAGACTCACTCCCAGTGCTGCTACACTCACACCCACTGCTGCTAAAGCAGCCTGCAATGGTATGGGGAAAAAAATGTAATTGCCTCTAAGCTCACAATTCACAACACAGCAACTCACAACTAAATAAAAAATATTTTAGCCACCTAGGAACTGAGAAACCTTTCAAGTTGCTTTAACAGAGTATCTGGTAACAAACTGAGTTTGCCCAGAACGGACCTGAATTAGTCCAGGAATAACTGACTTCTAACATGGCCAGAGGTTGGGGCAGTGGGGATGTAACACCTACCTAACTTTTAACTGGGAAAGATGAGAGGAAAGGCAATTATGGAAAAGTTTGGATGTTTGAGGCTTTAGGTTCTGATGAAAATTGCACAGTAAGATTTTTTTTAAATAAATCTGAAAATCAAAGCAGCCAGTGCACAGCAACATTTACTTTTTTAAACAGTTTATCCACCCACATCTCAAACATCCACTATTTTCTTTGTTACATCACTAAAATACTGCTTTCTCACACCAGCAACAGAATCCCATGCCTCCAAATGTAGAGCAGACATGTTTTGCTTAACACTTGCAGCAGAAATTACAGCTACAAGATGACTCTTGTCCTAGTAATTTATTTTTCCCCCTTTCACTAAGTAGGGACATGCAAAGATAACATACTCCTAAAAGTACTGGAAGTGCATTATTGAAGCTCTCTGCAGTGGTCCCCTCTGGTAACAGCTGCAATCCTGAAGAGTGGGAGACATTTCAGCTCCCCTACATGAGGCTGGAAGAGGAAGATACATATCTCCTTTCTTCAATAACAGGATCCCAAATAACAGGGCTTCCAAACCTCAATTCTGGTGAGAAAGGCTTCATTATAGTTTCAGTCGAATATTATAAAAACCTACAAGTATCACAACTAAAGACTAATCTTAAAAAACAGTAGTAGCCATTTAACCATATTTACAGAGGCTGCAGATTGTGTGGAAGAACAGAACTCTGTCCAGAGCCAGCTGAACACCAGCTGTATCAAAGCCCACACGTGCTGTTTCTCACTAACTCTGCTTGCCTTGTTACAAGGCAGCTGATCAGAATGAAGTTGAAAGAGAGGAGAAACTGTATGGGAAAAAACCCTGAATCACTGCTTTCTCCCCCTGAAGTCTTCCTTTCTTTCCCCTTCCCAAGTTATGAAACTTGGGCTGCTCTGGGTTACTCTTCACATCCCATAACTGGATTTAGCTTGCCCCAGCAGTCTCCACATGCTCAGCAAAAGCTGCTTCACTTGCAGATCATCTTAGTAACAGCTTCCTCAAGCAGATAGAACATTACATAAGAAAAATTACTCAGAGGATCTTAATTTTACCCTGAAACAGTCTTAGAGCAAGACTGTAACCACAGAATAAAATCCTCACTGGGAGCCATCCCATAGCTCTTCACAAACAAGGCCAACAGGCAGCACTAAAGCCCATCCACATTTCAGAAGCATGGCCTTGACCATATGGAGAAGTCAATTCAGAAAGAATGCACTGAACACAGGGGCTTACCCCTAGGTTTCAGCCTCTGCCCTCTCCTGAAAGGACTACTTAAAAACCTTGAACTACATCAAAACAGATTGTTAACAAACCACCTCAGACACAGTCACTTCACCAGAACACGTCCTCCAAAATATTTTCAGCAGAAAATGAATTTGTACTAACTTGGTACCTAAGCTGAGACAAGCAGGCTTTTCATTTCAGGAACTCTTGGAATCCATTTTTCTCAAGCACTCAAGAACACAATTAAAACAAGAGGTAGTTACTAAGCCTACCCCAAATCAGACCTGCTTCAAGAATACTCCAAGATTTAGATAAATCATAGTTTTCAACAGAAAGCATTTCTTAGCCTACATTACTGAAAATACACATTTCTGTTGCTTAAAAGAGTTTCTTCTTCCCCATAAAAGTTACCATGAGATAACTGAGCTTTTAAAGACTATTCCACTATTTACAGGTACCAGGAAGGCACATTTGTATCAGGGAGATGCAGAGCACATATTTACATTAGTAGTGATCCATTCAGGGACCATGATTTTTGTCTTCTAAACCTGTGTACCCACACCTCTAGTTCTTCTCTTCAGTGTTCAATCTGGTCAGGGCTAAGCCCCAAACCTAACACATCAGGGGGTTCCTCAGGAAGCTGCAGAAATCTTTCATGTTATCATACAGAGCAAAACCAAGCATCATGGCAAGCTTTCTCATTCACTAATAAAAGCCTCTTCTGTTTTCTCTCTGAAAACTGCAGAATCACTGCAGGCTTTTCCAAAACCTTACCTACCTTTGCATACACTCTTTTCCAAATCACTGGTAGGTGTGATTAAACCATTCTCCACATCCTATCACACCAAAAACCCTGCCTTCCAAACTTAGTACTGTCTCAGTTCAGTACTTGATAAGTAGCTCAAAAGAAAGACAATTCACTCCTTCAGTTCAGCCTCTTATCTCCTTCCCTCTTCAGTGTATCTGTACCAAATCCAGAAATTTCTGCCCTCACCACCAACGCACAATAAAGAAAAAAAAAAAAGAGGAACTTAATAAAAAATAGTTCTCTGGCTTGATAAAGGAGCACAGTAAACTCTAACAGTTTGCATAAATATAAATTTTCAATGCAAAGTAGCATAACATTTTATTCTGGATGGTAAACTTGTCTGATCCCTGAGTCCTACTGGTGACTCAGTAGGACTACAGGGTAGGTGGGACAGGTAGTAGGTTAATAAAAAGCATTGGAAGACTGGAACTAAAGCAACTGGCAAGAGATCATCCTGTGCTCACTGGAGAGGCAGCAGAGGTATAACTGAACTGCAACACTAGAGCCAGCCCCAAGATTTGAAATGCAGCTCCTACACAAGGGACAGACACAAGCTTGTTTGGATTCTTTCATGTATAGCAGTGTAAGCAGCTCCTATGCCAGAGCAGTCTTACAGTGTATTCCACAAAGCCTAAGCTGACTCTGCCATTCACTCCAGCACCAGTATTCCAAAACTGCCACCATATATTTTTCCCTTTTGAAACTGCTATGGACTAAGTCTGATCACATCTTGCACATTACTGCTTTGAAATAGGTTTGACCTTTCATGTATACCATCTGCATGCAGGATACCAAGCCCCACATCTTTATCAGAGGTAAAACAATGAAAGCCTCACCCAGCTCACCCCCTACAATATGCACGCCCCCATCAGGAATGGTCAATCCAGAGATGTCCATGGTCCCCACCACAATCGGAAGACCTTGCAAGTGGATGACCACAGCCATGCTGTGCTGAAACCACACACCTGCAGATGAGAAAAGGTAATGGCTGTATCAGACTGCAAAACAGTATTTACAGACACCATTTATACTACACATTCCTAATGTTATCTTATGAAGACTAAGCACAATTCTCACAAACATTATACACCACTTTTAAAAATTGTTTTGGCCCTGACTTGGGAAGCTGATTACAACAGGTTGTGTCTACAGCAGCATAGCTACCATGAAGTATGCCACACTATAGTTTACCCTACACGTACAAGCAGAAATAAAACTTCAAACCTGTTCAAGTATATAAAGCCCAGAACAATTTCTGTACAGGCTATTCATCTATGGATCCTCATGCTCCTGCCTCATGTTTTGTTTACACATACCACTTCTTAGCAAGATAAGATAGTTTTGGGACACAACCACAAGTTTCAGAAGATGTCCTTAGCCTTGGTATTTCAAAACATGCCTCTGAGTTTCTGTCAA